GGCGCGCGGACCCTGATGCCCTCGCGCTCACAGACAGGCGCGCGGACCCTGATGCCCTCGCGCTCACAGACAGGCGCGCGGACCCTCATGCCCTCGCGCTCACAGACAGGCGCGCGGACCCTCATGCCCTCGCGCTCACAGACTGGCGCGCGGACCCTGATGCCCTCGGGCTCACAGACTGGTGCGCGGACCCTGATGCCCTCGGGCTCACAGACTGGTGCGCGGACCCTGATGCCCTCGCGCTCACAGACTCGCACACTGATGCTGTCGTGTCTATACAGTCTTTCGTGCACTCTCACTCTACCTTGTGTTCATGCTTACAGTCAGATGCTCTCTCACTCTCTCTGCCACACATTCTCTTATATCTGGCGCGTTGATGTGGCTGATGCACTTTGTACTTTTCATCTGAGCCCCTCTTGTTCCTGTCTCTGTCCTCAGCAATGACTGTGACTCTGGTCAGAAGCAGGTCCTGCTGGACGCCCCAGTGCAGCTGTCCCAGATGGCCGGGGACTGTGGTAAGACTGGACACCTCACCACAGCGCCACTGTTGCTCTTTCTCTCTGTCTGCTGAGATACATGCATGCCATCAGCTGTGATGAATTTTAGAATCACTGGAGTGCCATCCACTGCAGTGATTTGCGTGACTGTAGATTTTCATTCATGCCTTAATCCAGGAGAAGCTCATTAAGAAGAGGGCAGACAACCTGAATCAGAGAAACCAGATGAATTATCAGAGGCCAAAAGCCAGGCAGATAGTGGTGTCCTACTGCAGTTTTTCTCAGCATTTTGTTCTACCAGGGATCAGAGTCCCTAAGGTCCCTCCTCTCTTGAGGACAGATCACACTAGAAACAGCCTGTAGCAAAAATACAGTTTAATACAGGGACTGGTCCCCGGACTGGGCATTGAGCTTAACTAACTGCAAGCAAAACATTTTGCACCTGCACACGAAAATACACCTGGCACTCACTTACTCTGTCATTAGTCCCTCTCTGTGTCTGCATGATATCTTTGCATTGATATCTTGTTTATTCTTTCTCACTCCCTTCCCTCCTCACTTTGCTGGTATCCAGATCCTCTTCTCTCTATTTGCTGTGTGTATATATATATATCGCTATCTGTGTCTCTCTCTCTCTCGCAGTCACTGCCACGAATGACCTGCAGGGTATCTGGATGATCAAGAGAGGCCAAAACACTGTAAGTTCTCACTACATTTTGGCCTTATCAGCAAGCTTTAGTGAAACTGTTACCGATCACTTTGGAATAGGGCTTCCGATACATGCACAAGACCTTATTCGCTGGAGAATGACAATATCGTTGATTGCAAGTTTTTTGGAGAGGTTCGATTCATCCTTGTATTCGAAGATTTTATTGTGTGATTTTGTGTTAGTAGCTTGCTTGATCGGTCTTTTATAAAGTGCCCCCTGCAACTCCTGTAGGAGTTAGTAATAGATATTAGATCAGGTTGCTTATATAGAGTGTGGGTTTAGCACTGTAAAGAACTTTTCCACTAAATGTAACCTTGCGCGTAGGTTTCCCAAGTTTAATCATGAAGGAACAGCATTGGGGAAGGCTTTCACAGTTGCACAGGCTTGAATATGTGGGCTTCAGAGCATGCGGCAACACTTACTCCCCTAGTCTGGCCTTGTTTTCTGGGTAGTTGAGTTCTTACTTCTGAGAGCTGTCTCGGAGGAAAGCTGACAGGCCGTGGGTGTGAGGGGTACAGCTGGCGGGCCTTTTTTCGTTCTCTCAGTCCGTGTGTGCTCTCCGTTGCCTCCAGACTGTTGACGCTAAGAAGCTGGAGAAAGCAGAAGCCAAGCTGAAGGCGAAAAATGAGAAGAGGACTGAGAAGGACTCGCAGAAAGTGGCTAGCCCTCTGTAAGTGCCTCCCCGTCCCCGTCCCTGTCCCCAGCGCCGCTTGTGCTGGTTGAGGTTTCGCCGGCTGGCCGAGGCCACGGCCCACCCCTTTCTCCCCCCCCCTTCCTCGCTCGGTATTCCTGCAGCTCGTCTCTCGCTGACTCTCCCCCTGTGTCCCTGTCTTCCCTCCCCGCTCCCCGCCTCTGTCTCAGGGTGCTGGAGGAGGCGTCCGCGAGCCAGGCCTCCAGTAAGAAGGACAGCCGCGTGGACAACTCGGGCAAGAACAAGTCCTAC